AAACTCTGCATCTCCGTGTTTGATATCAGAATTCTCTTCAGATCTCTGACTCCTTTCAGCTTCGTTGACTCCAACACACTTCTTTCTCTTGAGCTGATTCCATTCATGGTTAGCAGCTCTCCTCCGCAGGTTCTAACCAAGATCTGTTTCTGAGCTGCCCCCCAGCAGCCACAGACAGCTGGATGAAGTGTCTGGCTCCCTGTTGTACAAGGCAATGACCTCACAGTTGGTTGGGTATTTTATCAGTGGCTGACAGAATCAAGAGGTGTTGCTAGAGTTTTCCTGCCTGGCCCACAGTCAGGACAAATCTCTCTCACCCGCCAGTCCCAAGCCGCTCAAACCCGATCAAGTAAACACAGAGACTTATATTGGTTACAAACTGTATGGCCGTGGCAGGCTTCTTGCTAACTGTTCTTACAGCTTAAATTAATCCATTTCTATTAATCTATACCTTGCCACGTGGCTTGTGGCTTACCGGTACTTTACATCTTCCTTGTCCTGATGGCGGCTGGTAGTGTCTCCCCCACCCAGCCTCTTGTTCTCTCAATTTTTCTCTCTTAGTCCCGCCTATACTTCCTGTCTGGCCACTGCCAATCAGTGATTTATTCATTGACCAATCAGCAACACATTTGACATACAGACCATCCCACAGCAAAGAGGCTCTGATGTACCACTGCACAGAAGGTGACTATGGATACCTGCACATCGTCTAAGACAGTAAATGCTGTCTTTCAGAAGTTCACTGTTTAAAATCAAATACCACCAATTCAAGGAGTTCCTGGCCACTCTGGCCTGTGTTGAATCACCCGACCTCACTGTATCCTTGCTTCTGTACACATGTACATGTTGCTCAGCACAAACCTCACCCGACCTCACTGTATCCTTGCTTCTGTCCACATGTACATGTTGCTCAGCACAAACCTCACTCCATAAAATGCCAGCAAACACTGCTCAGCTTCGAGACTGTTCTGTGTTATGAAATGCAGTGCTTTCTCCTTTATATAAACTTCTGCTCGTACAGAAACATGATGGTTTAATTGTGGAAAACAATAACTTTTTACTGTTTTGCTATCATCATTTCTCGGCATGTAAGTATTAAGTCAGTGTATCCATAGAATTTTTTTTTTTTTTTTTTTTTTTTTGTGTGTGTGTGTGTGTGTGTGTGTGTGTGTGTGTGTGTGTGTGTGTGTGTTGGGATGTTTAATTTTGAAAGTTACTGTTTGAGTTGATGACTTGGTTTTCAGAAGAAATCATTCAATGAATTTTAACTTGGGGTTAGGATAACATTTCCAACAATTTCTGGAATGGCCCTCAGCTAATGTCTTCCACTTTGTACTACATATTTATGCAAAACAGCATTCTTGGCGCTGAGAATTGTAAAATCAGAATCTAGATCAGCTCTGAAAAACGAAGATGTCCTGTGTCCTGTAGTGTTAACTGTTCAGCCAAAATTTAGTTCTTTGTGTAAAAATAACAAGTAAAACTTACTAGTTTGCAAATTTGCTCGAGTCTTTAATAAATGGCAAAACTATAAATACAAGTAATTGTTTTAAAATAAATTTATGTATTATTTATTACCAGTAGACATTTGTTTTTTACGCCTTTTAAAAATTTATCTATGGACTCTAGGCCTTGTGAAATTTTCTTGGGAAAAGTGGGGTGTAAGTGGCAATGTCCCAGAAGCCCTTTCCTAGAGTCAGCAGGACGTGAGGGTGATGCATTTCTTCCTGGCACAGAGGGACCCTTAGTCTTTCTAGGTTAGTGGCGTGGTGGTCTCCAACTCCCCAGAGCACGTGGGTAGAAGGCTACTGTGCAATCCAGCCTGCTAGGAAGCCAGATGGGACCTGGAAAAGGGAACAGGGAAAGGGTAACAGAGAAGCAGCAGCGTGGAAGGCATGGTGAGGACTGTGGCTCGAGAATCGGCATTGCTGGTGTCCCTGGGTGTCCGACACACCTCTCTGAGTTCCCTGTGGCAAGGCCCGTCTCTGCTATCCACACCTGCCCGTGGTTTGTAAAGTCGAATCCTACAGCGAAGAGAAGATAAGGAAGGACTGATTGCTTCCCTGACATCAGATGAGTGACAACCTGGGGATCTAGCCATCCGCTCCTTGTACTTACTGAATGGACTATTCTCCAGAGTCCTCAACTACAGTCCAAAAACTGTTTTCTAATTTTCCTTTTCCTTTGGTGCGTGTACCAAAGTGAACATGATGATACAATTAAGCAGAATAAATTGCTCCAGAGGGCCACACTTCCTGTCTGACAGCATGAAGCTGGGTCTGACTTGAGCAAAGCATGATGGGTAAGAAGTTATGAGTTCAAATTTCCAGCCAGCCACACATCAGGCTGTATGCTAAGGAAAACATGAAAACAGCTGGGCCCTGCTACCAAGGAGTTTATTGGCCAGTGGGGACGTGGAGATACGGTTGCCAATAGTACAGAGAAGGAAACAGAACCACCAATGACCACAATGAAAACTGGGTCCCTCGGCATCTCTGATGGGGACAGCTCCATGTCCCAGTTTGAGGATGGCCTGAGATGGCTGCCTGGTATATTAGGAAACCCGCCTCAGCCCCAGGTCAGTCTTCTGAGCAGGTAGAATGTCAGCACGGAGAGCTGTGCTGCCCTGGAGTCTAAGGGCTCTCAGCACCTGGCAGATCTGGACCATTTCATCCATGGGAACTGGTCTTTTCCATAGTAGGCCTTCCTTTATGACTTAACTCTACAGGGACCCAATATCTTCTCTGCCTGTCTTGTGCTTCCATGTGACCCCCCCCTCCATACTTGTACTGGCCACACTGAGCTTCAAGATCCCAGCTGTGACCTGAAATCTGCTGTGAAAGGCTCTGTCTTAGTTCCTGAGTCTATGTGAAAAGCTCCTGGATCCTCCTCCACCGTACAGGCCAGAAACCATTGGTTCTGCTTTGCTCAGTTTGGGATCTCAGATGTCAGTGAAACCCATGTGTTTGGGATCCGGACATAGCCACTGTGCTGGGCTGCAAAGATGGCTGGACACCCAGATGGAGGACAATTGTCCTTGTAGAACACAGCTCTCTCCTCAGAGGGAGGAGGACAAGAGTTTATTCTGAGTCAACTGTCTGTAACTATGGCTGGAAATGAGTTCAGTTTGTTCCTTGTTCCACTGTGGAAGCTACCATATGAACTTTTACAGCCACAGAATGAAAGACAGTCTCAAGGCATTTTTCAAATACATTGGTGTGAACATCGAGTAGATGGGCTAGAGAAAGCAGCAGAAGTATCTGCTAGTTCTCAGATGTTATCTGATGGCATTTGTATATCTTTGGTTGGTGGAAATCAGTGGTGTGCTAACTTAATATATTCCAAAGATTTAATAATTGAAAAGATGTTAGACACAGAGGCTGGCAATGGATTCTAAGATCAATACAATTTGGCTCTGCATCTGTTGACATTCCAACTTTCTCCAATCTTGAAGTCCTAATCAGCCTTGTAGAATCTACACAGGTGTAGCTCCCCCACCCCCCCAGCTTCAGTTTATAGGCGCCTGCCTTCTTCTGGCCACCCCTCACCATCATTCTCTTTCAGGCTACTCATCACCAACAGGACACCCTTTGCTCAGGAGCTTGGCATGGAATTGCTCCATACAGGCTGAGCTTAAAGCAAGAATGGAAAACACATTTTAAACAGCAGATAGCATGTTATGAAGTGGCTTCTTTAAGCATTTTGGGTGACAATTTGCATGCAGGACTATATTTAGACTGTTGTTTTTCCTAGTTATCATCTCATATCCTGGAAGACAGAAAAAATACTAAGGAAAGGGTGACAAGAGCAGAGTCATTCCAAGTCTCCCAGTTACCACTGTTGCCTCTCCCTCACTGTAATGGCCACCTCCAGCTGGCTCCTGGCTCTCATGTCTGAGATGACCCCTTATAACACAGGGGAGGTCCTCACCAGCACAGCCTAGTGTGCCTCCTCACTCGGCATGGCCGCTGGTCTTATGTCAACTTGACACAAGCTAGAGTCATCTGAAAGGAGGAGACCTCGATTGAGGAAATGCTGCCTTAAGACCCAGCTGTAAGGCATTTTCTTAATTAGTGATTGATGGGGGCAGGCCCAGCCCATTGTGTGTGGTGCCATCTGAGATGGTGGTCCTGGATTCTATAAGAAAATAGGATAAGCAAGCATGAGTACCAAGCCAGTAAGCAGCACCCCTCCATGAGATCTTCATCAGCTCCTATCTCCTGTCTGTTAGAGTTCCTGTCCTTACTTCCTTTAATGATGAACAGCATGATAGCAATAAGGAAGTGTAAGCCAAATAAACCCTTTCCTGCCCAAGTTGCATTTTGGTCACGGTGTTTCGTCACAGCAATAGAAACCCTAACAAATACATGTAGGCTGAGCAAAAGAGGCATGGATGTCTGACCAAAGGACATCTACCAGAGAAATCCTCTGAGGTTCTGGAACCAAGGTTCATAGCTAACAGGTGACCTTGGCGGTGATGAGTTAGTTGTAGTCCACTGCACAGACCAGAGAATGACAATGCAGCCCGGCTAGTCTTCAGAGGGGGATGGGCTGGCCGTGTGTGCAGGGTGACACCTCAGGGACAGAGGCTTCAAGAGGGGGAGGAACTAACTGTCCTACTTTGCCACAGTGCACACCCCTGCTGTGTTCCTGTCAGCGGACCAGTCAGTAGTCAGTCAGTCTTAGAACTGAAAAAGTTCTAAGATAGTCAGAGGTTGACCATCACAGACGCACTCTGTAGATGGTTTTGGCTCTCATTTTAAAACTCCAGAGCCCCGCTGAGCTGTTCCGCTTTGCTCTGCTCTGTGAAGCGGGGGTGAGTGTTGCTGGAGGGAGATTTGCTGTGGGTTTCCTGGCCTCGTGTGTCAGTATTGGTGGCTGAGACTTCTTAAATTCCATATTTTTGGGGGTGGAGTCAGGGTGGTCCTCTCACCTCTCCCTGTCTTTCTCAAAAGTTAAAAAAGTACAAATAGAAAGCAACACGTTATTTTGTGTTTCAGAGGATCCTGGGGTTGAAGAAGAGATAGACTATGCAAGGGAGCCCAGGTTCTCTTCATCCTCATTGTTGTCCTCTGTTCCCATCTGTTGTGGTGGGACGGTTCAGATCCTGAGCCTCCTTGTCAGCCGTGGAATGCTGCCTCTGTAAATGGGGATTTGAGGCCCGGGACCCATGGGACACTGGGACTACATCCTTTTTAATGTAAAGGTTTCAGATCAGGGAGGCATGGGACATTTGGATTGTGTACACTGGCATCTGCATATCCCAGGGAGATCCAAGGCTGTACAAGGATCAGCAGATCCCCAAACTTACAGAACTAATTAGGAGCAGATTCTGGGACTGAAACCCAGCTTGTCTGATGTCCAGTCCCAACGATCCATGGCTTTGACTTCAGAGGACGAATGACTGAAAGAATGGTATTTGAGAACGTTCTGTTCGGACACAGTTGGAAAAATCATCTCTCCAGTGTGCCAAAGTCATTTCCAGATGTACTGAGAGTTGTATGCAAAGTTGTACTTGGAAGAAAACTTGCAGCACCTGGGTTCAAGAAGAATGATAAGCTCGAAGACACTTCGCCTCCCACCAGGATGACCAGGGCAGGTGAGGCGAAGCAACAGGGCATAACTGGAGACCAGCTCAAGCTGCACTCATTCCCCTGGTCTGTCAGCAGCACCAACCATCGATTGACTTGGGAGCTAGGTAGAAGGAATTGGGGACCGTCCTCGGGCTATCTGACTCCTCCCTCTATCCCTTGCTTCCTGTCAGAAACTGTGTCCTTTAGCAGCAGCCTGTTCGGTGTGAGTGGTCTCAGCTTTGCTTGGTCCGGATAATTTTCAGCTGCTAATCTTTGCATGTGAAGGATATGGGATGCGGCCTGTTGTTCTGCCCTGATAGCTGTGTCCAGTAGGATTAATGCACCCAGCCTATGGAGGAGGGACTGAACAGACAGCTTGCTCCCCACAAATGGACTGAGCCCCACCTTCCAGTCAATTCCAGACCCCCCAAGGACTGCATCTTCTAACATCAGGGATGGGACCTTGGATTTAAGTATGACTGGATAATCAGGGTGCAATGAGCAGCCAAGAGGAGCCTTCCAGTGGAAAACAAAACCCCATAGCAAAGGAAACAGAATAGAAAGTCCAAAGATATGTTGGTAGAAGAACCACTGCTATATCCCTGGATATTTAAGAAGATCTTGCATTCATGAACCAAGAACAGGGCACCAGAGAAAAGAAGTAGTCACAGGAAAGAACTCCTCTGAAAATACCTGGAGGCCCTCAAAGAGAGGCACTGGGGTCCTGGTGTTCACAGCCTGATTGTGCCACATGATGTGTGTATGCTGTAGGCACACACACGAGAGTTATAGACATGTGCACATACTTGGTAAGTCTAGAGGAAGAGTATCACCACAGTCAAGTTTAAAAGGTGAGCATGAAGTGAGACACTGGTTCATTCACTGTAATCTGATGGTCCTTGAGTTCAAAAATCCAAATTTATTTTTTGGAAAGAAGTGGCTTGCTGAAGTACAGCATGCCGACTGCTGAAACTCTCTGGGTTCTTCTGTTCTGAGGTGAGAGTTCTGCATTATGGTTAAAGTTTTAAAATGGCATGAGAGACACTAGAGAAGCTGTGGTCTGAGCTAACATTTGAGTCCAGGTCTGTGGAGTCTTGGGAACATGGGGGCTGCCCCCACACTTGCTACTGGGTTCCTATGCCAGTAACTTTTATTGCTTTGGTTGAGATGGGTGGGTCCTGTGGATTTTCGGGGTTTCTGAAAATATTTATAATTAAAAACAAACCATCTGAAAAAAAATAGTCTTAATAGTACTTCCAGGCATTTTCCTGCTTGGTTTTCAAAGCATGGAAATGTTAAGGAAAATTTGATCCATATGTTTGGTTAACATAAGTGTGAAGCATCGGATGAGTATTTTAAAAATTATTTACCGAGAAGAGCCCATTGGCCATCCACATGCCATCCCCTTGGGACTCATTTTGAATGTTTGTGATTCCCATGGGTCCCTGTCACCGTGTCTGAGGAAGTTTCTTCCACAGGAGGCCTTGGTTTGAGACATCCCTACAGTAGGGCTTCAAGGGATATTGGGCAATGACTGTCAGACCCATTCAGTTGTACTCCCTTTCTCATCCATCCACGGCGTCTTGGGAGGGCCCCAGGGCTCTGAAGCCACTGTTGGCCAACAAAACTGACACCTTTTCCTCTTCCTTGGCCAGGCATGACCAAGGCTCCCTTCTTTCAAACTCCTCTCTGCAGAAAGGATGTTCCCAGATGAGTACATCTGCAGGGGTTCTAGACAAAAGGCAGTGGCAGATATACCTCCCTTGATGATATAGCAGGCATGATGGGGATGTTCTTCTTGACAAGAGTGATGAGCAGAAACCCCCAGCCAGAGGACTGCTTCTATTCATAAATAACATTATTAAGATTGGTCTGTTGGGACAACCTACTAGCTACTTGCCATGGAAGCAACACATTCCTGGCCTAGAACTTGTCTCACTTTGAGTTGAAAGGTTCTGACACTGCATGATGGATAAGGGGAGGACATTCACACACACACACACACACACACACACACACACACACACACACACACACACACACAGGAGGTTTTATAACATAGAATATAATTAATAGGGTCTGTAAGTTGCACGGCAACTTCACAAGTTAAACAATGAGGCTGAGTACGAGACAGCAGGACTGAGTATGTTAGAAGGTATTTACGGGCTGCCTCGGTGTGTTGGCCTGCATGGAGCAGGAATATCCTTCCTTTTCATGGACCCCAGGGTTTATTTACCACGGGCTCAGGCGGGCTGTGCAACTCCATTCTGCTGCCTTATTCCCCCTTTCTGGTCATTTCCAGCAAATTTAAGAAGTTCAAAAAGACCCAGGACCTTGCCCATCTCAACAATTTCTGAGGAAAGGGCAATGAAACACCACAACCCAAAAGCAAGTTGGGGACAAAAGGGTTTATTCAGCTTACACTTCCATATTGCTATTCATCACTGAAGGAAGTTAGGACAGGAACTTAAGCAGAGCAGGAACATGGAGGCAGGAGCTGATGAAGAAGCTACGGAGGGGTGCTGCTTACTGGCTTGCTTTGCATGGCTTGTTCAGCCTGCCTTCTTATAGAACCCTGGACCACCAGCCCAGGGATGGCACCACCCACTGTGGGCTGGGCCCTCCCCCATTGATCACTAATTAAGAAAATGCCTTAGAGTTGGATCTTATGGAGGAATTTCCTCAACTGAGGCTCCTTCCTCTCTGATCACTCTAACTTGTGTCAAGTTGACACAAAACCAGCCAGTACAGCACTACATGTCTCTCATATTTCTGATATGAAGAGCTCTAGCACACACACACACTCACTATTTTCTTCCTCACCCCCCCCTCTCACACACACATCTATCTATCTATCTATCTATCTATCTATCTATCTATCTATCTATCTATCTATCTATCTATATATAGAGAGAGAATGAATGAGAATGAGAATACATTAGTTCCAGGTCCTGAAGTATGAGTAACCAAAGTCCGTGGGCTATTACTGAGCATGAATCCACATCAGGCTGTGGGGTCTCTTCTCTGTCCTGACCACTGACTTCCTTTAATCTACTCTCTGAGCCACATGGTACCACCCTCCTCCTTAACCTTGGAAGCCCTTGGTATGTTTATATTAAGGGCAAGGCTCATCGTTTTTATTTTTGGGGTTCAGTCTTGCACTGTTTTGTGCGGCCACCATTCTCCTGTGGTATAGGCACTGATCTCCACAGGATGGTGTTTTGCCTGAAGCCTCCTTTGTATTAAGAAAATCAGAGCCGGGCGGTGGTGGCGCATGCCTTTAATCCCAGCACTTGGGAGGCAGAGGCAGGTGGATCTTTGTGAGTTCGAGGCCAGCCTGGTCTACAGAGCGAGATCCAGGAAAGGCACAAAGCTACACAGAGAAACCCTGTCTCAAAAAACCAAAAAAAAAAAAAAAAAAAAGAAAGAAAGAAAAGAAAATCAGGATAATTTTGATGCTGAGTAGAGATTGGGTGCAACATCTGTTCTCACCAGCAAGTGGATGGTGGATGAACACACAGCATAGACAAGGACCCTGAAAACTCGAAGAGACCAGCCTTCAAGGCCATGGCTGGGTTTCAAGCCATCTAAACATCTTAATGTCTTCAAAAAGGAAAGTGAGATCTTGGGGAAAGAAGACTTGAAACTTTTGGCTGTCCAGGAAAGCATCGGGCAAGCCATGCGATGTGGGGACAAGGGCAGGGGGAAAATCACTGGTAAAAGCCAGGAGAGGCCAGCAGCAGGGTGCGGCTTGTGTGAAGCCTCTTTACTAAAGGTCTTGCTTTTGGATGTTTGGGTCGTGCCTGGTGTTGACAAGAACTGGTTGCTTGCAGGGGGGCGAACCATGTGTGGGTTAGAACCATGAGACAGGAGAAGGGGTAAACGGGATAGTACAAATGGCTCTGAGCCCATGATGTGTGCAGCAGGGGAAAGAAACCAATGGGAATTCAAAAACAATGTAGGTCTGAGGGAACACCCAGGAAAACACATAAGCATGACACAGGGTGGGTTCCTAGATGGTCACTTGACTGTGGGCACCTTCTGAGGAGACAGAAGGACCCAGAATAGACAGCAGGATGAGGCACTCTGGCTTTCCCTGTTACAGCAGGTAGCAAGAGAGGCTGCTGTTATCACAGGGACTGTGACAGAACAGGGATTGGGTCCCAGGGAAGCCGGGGGTCAGGAAGGTTGGGAGCACATTGGCATTTTGGGTCTGTTGACTACCACCTGTATGGTGCCTGTCCCTGGACTCTGAGCGCTCAGGAACGCCAGGCTGGGAATAGTCAGGTCCATTTGGACTTGTTTTCTCCAAGTGAAAGAGGTAAAAAGTTAAAGACAACACACTTTAGGGTGCTGGTCAGAACAAGAGGACCACACAAACTGGGAATGAGGTGATGTATCCCATGTGGCTGCTGTGCCAAACACAGCATAGGCTTTGCTGTGGAAGGATGCATGAGCTAAGTACTTAAGCCAGCAGACTTACAGTAAAATAGTGGATCCTCTACTGTTATGGGGACCATCTAGTCAACTGAAGGCCTTCAGAGAAAAGGCTGAAGTTCCCTGGAAAGAAAGAATTCTGGCTGAGTTTCCAGCCTTAAAACTCAACCCAGGCAGTAGCATCAGCCCTTTCTTGGGTCTCCAGCCTGACTTGCAGACCTCAGAAAGCCAGTCCCATAACCACACAAGCCAATTCTTGAAAATATTTCTCTTCTTCCCCCTCCCCTCCTTTCTTCTCATCCTCAGTTTCCTTCCTCGCCTCTTCCCTTTCCCCCTTTCCTTATTTCCCATGCAGCTGACGGATGGTGAGCAGGTGGGGGAACCAATGGTTTTGGAGCCCTAGAACACACAGGCAGGAAGGAACTGGGGCTATGTCAGTCACTTCTAAGCCCTTCTTGCTCATGGTCAAGGATATGAAGCTCTGGGCTTCATCAGACCACTGTGAGCTGAGAGGACAGAGCCTGGAGTTCATTATCTATGGACACTGAAAGGAGCCGCAGAAGCTGCAGGTGAGCGGGAGACAATGGACAAGATGTCAGTGCAGAGGACGCTGTGAAGATAACAGGAGGGTGACTGAGGGGGACAGAGTGAGGTGCTGCGGTGGGTGCCTGGGCTCCACGGTCAAGCTTGTTTTCATTGTCATTTGGTGGAAGCATGGGGTGGGGAGGCATTTTCCACAGGCAGCAAGAGAGACTATTTTGAAAGGAGAGAACACCAGCTTCATCATAAGTGACTTAGTGGGTGGGTGTCATAGTCAAGGGTCAGGTGAATCAAGGAGAAACAGTCACAGATGCCTTGGGTTCACGACGTCACCAACATCCAGACAGTAATGCTGGAACACGTGCTTTGAAATGAGCTAACAACATTGTGGGAAGGGCCTCGAATCAAAACCAGGTCCGGTCAGTGGAAAAAAGGACGAGAATAAAAATGCTAATCCTTAGAAGTGGTGATGTCATGTAGAGATGGCACGGATGTAAGAGGAGCATCTCACACTGCTGTGATCCCAGCATACTGTGAAAATAACCTACGTGGGGCTGATGAAGCCAGCCAAGACTGGATAGGCCAAGTTTTCCATATTTAACAAGATATTTTAATGTCATCACCACAATGCCACAATTCCTTTTCCAAACTTTTTCTTGATAAAAGCTATTAGTGAGAAAGATTTAAAACAAGAAAGCAGTTCCGACTTTAAGGGCTCTCTTAATTCCCCAAAAGCTGATCCTGAAATACTCATTTGTTTATCTCTAGCTTTTTTAATACTGGAGTATCTGACTGCTTGGGACAATTCAACATTTGATTTAAATAGAGAGCAGTCAGCTATTCTGTTTGTCCTGGAATGTGGGCTGTGATTAGAGCAAAATCTTTCCAGTAAAATTAACTGTCTGTTCAGATTTTCATCACCAGCAATCCTTTTGCAAAAAAACAATAACAGTCGAGTGTGTTCTAGGAGACTTGGAAAGAAAAGAAGAAGAAAGTTCAGAGGCAAAGCTTGGTCTAAGTTCTGACGCTGAGGCTGCAATTGCTCCTCACAGCAGGAATGTTCTGGGCCTGGCCTGACCATGCTCTTGGCACCAGGCACCATTGTTTATGCCAGCCTGAAGAGACTCTTGAATCCGTGTCCTTTGATTGAGCATTTTTATGATGTCTGCATAAATCACTTCCCTGAAGATGGCATCCCTGGCATGGAGCTGGCTTGCCTTTTTATAGGCATTTGCTGTGAGCGAAGACTTCTCTCTCTTTAGATGAACCTTCCTCTCTGATTTCCTTTGCCCTGTACCCTAGGAAAGTTCTCTGTGATCTCTCAGATGCCACCCTTTAACCCAATTTGTGGCTGTTTATTAGACCAACTTTATCTTCTGTTATTCACCAATTGCAAGAGTAAGAAACTGGGTAATCCCATGGAAAGGTCATTACTAAATTGATCTAGTTCTTCTAGTTCTCTCTCACATCTTTGTCAGGTTGAATTTAACCATGTCTTTCTAGAACAGTGATTCTCAACCTTCCTAATGTCGCGATCCTTTAATACAGTTCCTCATGTTGTGTTGACCCCCAACTATAAAATTATTTCATTGATTCCTTATAACTGTAATTTTGCTACTGTTATGAATCATAATGTAAATATCTGTGTTTTCTGAAGGTCTTGGACAACCCCTGTGAAAGGGTCATTTGACCTCCAAAGGGGTCATGACCCACAGGTTGAGAAACACTGCTCTAGAAATTTGTCTTATAAATGTCTTGATGATTTTTGGGGACCAACAATATCTCAAGACATCAAAATTATCCCAAATAGTGATTGTGGTTAAATTAGTCTTCAGCAAAATTTAGAATATGTATTTCTCAGAGGATAACCTTATGAAAGTAAGACGTTTTCATTCACCTCCACAATACAGAAAGAACACCCACAAGTCAGCCAGAGAAAGATAGCCAGCCACAGTCAAAGCTAAGCAGCAAACTCCAGGAAGACTTAGCAAAGCAAGTACCCCAGAGGCCAGGGGGCATTTGAGGAAGGGGCCAAGACTTTTAGTGACTAAGACATACAAACAAAGGCACAGGGAAAGGAGCTATACCTTCACAAGGATGCCTTAGGCTACAGAGGCCTCCAATCTAGTGACTGAGGGCACAGTGTGGAGAACCTCACCAATCATGAGGGTTATGAAATGGTCTATGATTCCGGAAATGCTTTCCAGCAATGCTGGCTAAGCTGTTCTCCTGGGTAGGACAGGCATGAATGGTTATGTCCACGAGATACACCAAGGATGTTGACATAAACTCAACCTGAAGACGGCGTGTGGTTCATGATCAAGAGCTGTACACGGGAAGCCTGCGTGACCTTGCCAGGAAAATGGGCTGATAGAATTCAGTGAGCAGCAGGCACAGGCATAAGAGCAAGGGCCTTGTGTGAGGATAGGAATGGGATACAGAACTTCCATAGGTTTCATACAGAGAGATAAAAGCACAAAGACTAGAAGAGCCTCTGGGCATACCTGTAAGGGATTATCTAGATTAGGTTTACTCCTGAATTTGCTGATAATCCCTAGTGTGACATAATTCTACCATTTTGGAACGGGAATGTTTACTTTGGGCTATTGCACATTAGAGGTATGTAACTTAGTTTTTTTTGTTGTTGTTGTTTTAAATTTTCTAAGGATTTCTTACATAAGTTACTATAACATTTCCACCTTTCTCTTTCCCCATTTAACTCCTCTGAAGTCTCTTCTCACTCCTCTAACACTCATGATTTCTTTTCCCTTATTATTTTTACTTGTGTATGAATATATGTGTGTGTGTCACCTAAATCCATTTAGTGTTGCTTGTATGTATATGAGACTGACTTCTTGGGTTCAGGTAACCTTTTATGGGGAATCATCTCTGGCAAAACTGGTTCTTTCTCTCTCAGCAGCCATGGGGTTGCCTGTAGCTCTTCATCTAGGGATGGAGCCTTATAAAATTTCCTCCATCCATGTTGACATGTCAACTGGTGTTCTCATTATGCAGGTCTTGCTCAGGCAACTGTGTCATTGAGGTTTCACTTGTACAGCTACATACCATGTCTAGAAAACACCATCTCAAAGCAAAAAAAAAAAAAAATCAGGAAAACAACCCAATTAAAAATGGGCTAGGGAGTTGAACAGAGAATTCTCAAAAGAAGAAATAAAAATGGCTAAGAAATAGCTTGAGAAGTGCTCAGCATCCTTAACAATTAGGGAAGTACAAACTAAAGCAACTTTGAGATATTTTCTTACCCCAGCTCAGAGTGACTACAACTAACAAAAGAGCCAACAATAAATATGAGTTAGGATGTGGGGAAAGAGGACCTCATTCACTTTAGTGGAGCTGCAAACTGGTGTAGCCACTCAGGAAATTAGTGTGGAGAATTTTCAAAAAGCTAAAAAAGTAGATCTACCATGTGATCCAGCTGTATTATTCTTTGACATTTCCAAAGGACTCAATATCCTACTTTATCAATTCTTGCTCAACTCTGTGCATTGTTATTCTGTTCTCTATAGGTAGTATAAATGCTTTTCTTGATTGTCAACTTGATTACATTTGGAATTAACTAAAACCCAAGTGGCTGGGTACACGTGTGAGGAATTTTTTCTTAATTAAGTCATTTGAAGTGGGAAGACCCACTTGAAATGGAAATCTTTTGAGGTGGGAAGACACACCTTTAATCTTGACCACACCTGTGGCAGCCTATATGAAGGACATGGAAGAAGGAAGCTTTTGCTCTTTGCCTGCTTGTTCTCATTGTCCTTGGCATGTCTGTTCCTTCATTGGCTTTAGAGGCTACTTCTTTGGGATTCTGGTCTATACTAAAAACCAGCTGAGACACCCAGCCTAATGGACTGAATAACTACTGGAATTTCGAACCTTCTGTTGGTAGGCAACCATTGTTGGACTAGCTGGATCACGGCCTGTAAGTCATTCTAATAAATTCCCTGTATGTATATATAATATAATACAATACATAATGTAATACATATTCTATAAGTCTGTTTCTCTAGAGAACCATGACTAATACAGGTAGCATATAGAAACAACCTACATGCCCTTTAACTGATGAATGGTAATGAAAATGTGGTATGCATACACAATGCAATTCTTTTCAGCGGTAAAGAAAAAAATATGAACTCTCTAGGTAAATGTATGGAACTGGAAACATTTTACTGAGTAAGTTAACCCAGACCCAGAAAGACAAAACACCATATGTTGTCTTACTTGTCCTGGTTCCAAATTTTTAGATATGAGTATACCACCTGAAGCTATGGCAGAAGCCAAGAATGTAACTTGGTTTGTGGTGTGAGAAGAGCTCACAGTTAAGAATTTCAGATGAAACTTTGGGCCTTGTACTTTAGACAAGGCTGAAATTATTATTAAACACAATGGAGAAAGGGATAGGAGGTTATGGCTTAAAAATGATGAGTCTGGGTGTCGAGTCAGCAAAAAAGTGGATTTGTGATGGCGATTTGAGGCAGGCCCTTGAATCACTGAGGGTGCAAGCCTGTGAGGACTTACCTTGATGAGGTTAATGGAGGTGGGAGGACCCACCTTGAAGGCGGGCAGCAGCATTCCCTGGGCATAAACTCTGGACTACAGAAAGACAGAGGCTAGCCAACCATCACCAACCACTGCCCTCTTCTTTATGACTGTTGCAAGGTGACCAGCTGCCTCCATGGTCCTGTTTCCAGGACTCTCTTGCCAGGGTAGACTGTAACTACAGCAAATTGTGAATCAAAGCAAACCTTCCTTCTTGAAATTGCTTTTGTTAGGACATTTTATCAGAGAAACAAGAAAAGTAACTAAGACAACCAGCCAATGGCAGTCCGACCAACGGCAATAACACACACTGATAGTTGGAAAACACCTGAGCCATCAACTAGTAAGAAGTGTGTTAAGGACTTTACAAGCACATTTTTCAGATAACACACTGTTAGTGATCATTACTAAATTCTGTTGCGGTTAGGTTATTCTATAAGAATTTACTGAGACCTATTTCTCAGTTTATTGAAAATTGTTTTATGTCTCAGCATGTGGGATATCTTGGTCAATATATTTCATATACTTTTAATGTGTACTGTGTACTGTAGGGTGATGTGTTGTACAAACATGGTCAAGTTTATTTTCACACTTGTTCAGTTTCCTTTCTATGTTCCCATCTCATTTATCTTTTACTTAAGCAAATGGGGTTAGAGTCTCTATTTTTGCAAAACTGTTTAATTCTCCCTTGAACCCTATCTGTTTTGATCCATGTTTTGAGGTTTTAAATCATCTAGATGAACATGTCATTTCACCACTTGGAAGTGCTCTCTTCTATTCCTTTTATTTATTGTCTGGAATCAGCCTCTCTTCACAAGCATGCATGTGCACTGAATATGAATGGCATAGATTCCATTTTTATTTTTTACTTAGCATTTTCTTTGTGTATAAAGTTCAATTATCTTTGTTTTGAAATATATAATTGTGTTTAAAATCTGAGAATCTCTTATTGCAGTATTTATTATATTTATATTTTCATACGATTATACAATTATTGATGTCTTTACATTTGCATCTATTATATAATTTTTGTTTTATGTGTCTGATTTTTAATTAATTAATTACATTTGTCTGTTGATGTATATGCTATATTGTGTGTGAAAGTGAGAATAAAAATTTTGGGACTCGATTCTTTCTTTCTACCTTGTGGGTCCCAGGGATTGATCGCAGGTCTTCAGACTTGGTGACAAGTGCCTTTACCCAGTGGATCATCTTGCTGGCCCACCAATTTGATTTTTAATATAATCATTTTTATTTGTTTTCTTCTAGCTTATTGTATATTTCAAGTTTTGCATTTGATTCTCCTCCACTGGGTTTTGAGATCTATCGGGCTCTGATTACTGTTATAACTACTCCGCAGACTGCACTGTGGATACTTAGTGTGTCACTGTATAATTACAACCATTGTTGTAATGCTTTGTACAATACATAGCAATCTTATACTAATGCAACCCCTTGACTCCCGCCCTGCATGGCTAGCAATCAATCACACTCCCAGATTCTCAGTTCAAGAATCGACTACTTCCTGCTTTGGGAGATCAGAACTGTCCTAGGCTGTGTTCACATAGTATGTCAGGTTGATCAAAGTGTAGCACGTTAGATGAAGACTAACTTAGGCCAGCCTAAGGTCTGGCTGCCTCCAGACGGAAGATAGATGAAGAATTACATGACCATCATCTTCTGTGGGTGAAGTTTGGCCATCTTCTACCTTGAGGACCATACTTCAAGACCCACTGACATTCTGTGATAGTCCAGGTGAGAGGGAGTGATATGGACCAAGCCAGCACTGCCATCTTAGCTGCTTGTTTTGTGATAAAACTTTTCCTAGGGAGATGTTACACACATGTCTACTCACCCTAGATAGAGAACTCATGATAGACCAAAGTACAGCTAGATACCACCAAAGTCCAATTTGGCGAACCAATGAGTTTTATTAGAATTAGTTACAGGAGTCTGAGTGAAGGGTTACTTACAGGAGCAAGCAGAAATGACTCAAAGACAGATGCATCACTGAAGCCCACCCCAGCACGGGTGACAGCTCCCCAAACTGGGAACCTGGAGCACGCTGCACACTGCAGGTAGCTCAGCAGGTTGGAGAGTGTCCTTTCCAGGTGACTCAGTTGGTCTGAACCTCTTCCAGGCAGCTTGTCTGGTCTTATCTTGTGTGCAGCCTTGCTGGTCTGAATCTTCTTTGCAGCTCTGCTCAGCTAGTCTGAGAAGGACTCTCTGCTTTTATAGCTTACTCTGGCAGGAAGGGACCTAGTGAATCTGGTCAGTTTCAAGAACGTCCTGAAGCTGTTTGGAGTTGTTTCCCTTCTTGCTTAAGGAGATTCTCTGAAGCATGGATGATTTTTATCTCAGAGGAAACTGTTACACAGATCATCTAGAAACAGGTAGCTGGTAACAAAAGACCACTATTATTCACAGCTGTGGGGCACAAACATTGAGTTTATGACATTCTGCCACAGCGGCAATGTGAAAATTGGAAAGCTCGCTGATGGGAATTTTATGGTTCAAGCTGATGTGTTGAGTATCATAGATGATGAGACATTTGAAGACAGAAACACCATGTTGTCTTTGCTGACACAGTGCTGGTGATCTTTGCCAACTCAGGTTTACTCAGAATGAAGGAAGGAACCTGTGTCACCGTGACATACGATTTACATGTGTATCAGGCTCTGGACATTCCTTCTCTCCTTCTAGTCCTATGATGACCTTCACCCTAAGGTCATTGAGAAAACAAAACTTTTGCCCTCCTCTGCTCTGGGCTTCCTGTAGCTACTCATCATCTCTGTATCACCTTAATATTTGTACTTGTTCATTGTTTTAAAGATTGTGTAATGACTTTAGAATAAAAATTTTATGCAAATGATTATATACAAACTAAATGTGATTTCATAGGATTTATAGGAGTATGTAACTATTTTTATTATATGTTAAATATATGATTTCATATATAGTAGACATTTCTAATCAAATGGTATATGTGTTATATGATATACATTTTGCAGAAAATAAAGACCTCTGTATGGTTTATTCTCATTTTATTTATACTAAAAAATCACTAATATGTTTTAATGTTTGGTTGCATAGAAACTGACTTACTATATTGTCAGATATTTTTGTTCACATTTGATTCATTGTTCAATATAGTTAAAATGAGACATTTCTTCAGATTAATATTTACATATGCCTATCTAATGTATTTGTATTCCCTCTTCATACTTGAAAGCTTATTTCAGTATTTCATCACTGAGATGCCTGAGAGACAAAGATAGTTAATAGTAATGTAACTTAAGAAGTCTATTTGAGGTCATTTTGTCAATTCCCATTATTTTACAAATTTAAGCAGAACCTAGAACACCTAGTAGCTATCTAAAAAATTTGTTGCACAGTAGTGCCTGCCTCCCTGAAATGCCTCCCCTGATACAAGCCTCACACTGACAACCTCCAGGCCAATAGAGATTGGAGGCCAACTCTTGTGCCTGGGGAGACATGAGCTATACACCCTCTACTAAGCCCATCACACTGACACACTTCTTTGTAGTAATGGTGCTTGTCACCTGGATAGGGGCAGTCTCCAGAGGAATCTTTGCTGTCCAGTGTGTTTCCAGAAACTATTTCAAGGTGTTTTCTGGTTGTCACCAATATTCATTGGTAAGGACTGCAGTTGGCAGAATGAAGCCCTGTGATTTCAGATATTAAAGGGCTGCAAGGGCTTGAGGCTGGGGTTACCATCTAGACATGACACTGAAGATCTCTCTGGGAGCCATCTCTAACTTAGAGGAGGGTACATACATGAAAGGTAAATCACCTCTAGCTGCTCATAATTTTTTTAAGAGAGAAATTCTCATGTAGCCAAGGTTGGTCTTGAACTTCTGATTCTTCTGCCTCTATCCCCTGAGTACTGGGATTACCATAATATGACACCACATCTATTTTATGTACTGCTGAGGATTTAACCCAGAATTTTGTGCATACTCTACCAACTGAGCCCATCCCCAGCCCCTGACATTGGGTTTTTATGAAGGGTCTGCAGCTCTCTCCCAACCATGTAAGTCATGGTGTCTGGAACATAAGAGAGCCGTGTCTTCTCCTTCACCTTCTCAACTCATCTTCAACATGACAAATTGAATTTTGTTTGAGTTTGTGTCAGAATTTAAAGACTTGGCTGTAGTTAATCTCTCTGCTACTGCAGAGGCCCTAATGACAACCAGCTGAGTGAAGAAAGAGGCTCGGACTTGGAAAAACAAATGGGTCCTCAGCCTGGAGAAGGCTCAGTGCCACAGCCCCAGTTTTGTTGGGGGTGGTATGGGACCTTGGGTCAGAGAGGGATGTGCCTGGAAGCCTTTTGTTCTACTGTGGAGATGACCCAGCCCAGGGATGCCTGATGCACTGAGGTCGGTCTGAGATGACAAGAAGAAGGATCCAAAAAAAATTAAGTACACTTTGCACTGCTGCAGTCTCAGAGGACCAAGCTAGCAGAAGAGTAAAGTCAGTCAAAGTTTAATATTCTAAAGCCAATATATTTCTTAATAAGAATATGAGTGGAAAACAAACCAGTTGAGCCAACAATCCTTCCAGACTGCCATCATTTGACTCAGGAAAAGTCTACCTTAAAAATAATAAATTGACTCATGATAAAAATGAGCCACAACTAATTCACCCACAGGTAAATATTTTAGTAAATTAACTGACTTGGATAAGGTGAGAGTTGGCAGGTTCGGGTGGAATGTGCCGGCATCTCTTGCCTTCTGATATCCATGAGGAACATAGAGCAGAGTCTGGGAAAATTATTCTGCTCGTAAATTCTTTATGCAGGTGTGACTTTATTACTTTAATAATGTACCGATGATACGTGGTGTACTGCTTTATAATGAGAGAGAATGATGGGGCCTACTCTAAGAGAAGGTGCACAAGAGACGAAGCTTAATTCACTGAATTGAATTCTTTAACTAAAAACTTTCACCTATGAACAGTAGCCCAGACAATACTGCTGACCTGTGACAACCTGGGGAGATAAGGACTGTCCCAGAAGAGCCAGTCAACAAGGCCTGTAAGTCAGTCATACAGTATAGGCACCTGGGGCCTGGAATAATACTCTTCTCTGAAACCAATCCTCTTTACCCTTTATCACGAGGACTGAGGCTTCTCCTGAGAGTTCTAGATGAGTCTGTGTGTTGAGTACCTACGTCTTCATATCCACAGCAACAGTGCCCCATTCCAGGCTACCAGATCCACCATGGAAGCACTGATACCTCATGCAAACAGCCTGGTATCTGTATAGAACCATAGCATTCAGTTCAGCTCTAGATTGTTTCTATTCCTGGTGAAATGTGGTGACATATAAGTAGCTGAACTGGATGATGGAGGAGAGAATAGCAAGGAAAAAAGTGTACATGTGGAATAAAGACACAATTAATTTATTTTCCATCTAAGTTGGCTGAAGCCACAAATACTGATGGTCAATTGTATTATTAAGTTGGGTGTAGGTCCCTTTAGGAGGTATGTTTTTTTACTTCTATTCTCGAAGACAGGAGGGAGGAAGGAGTGAGCCCACAGGAGCTCCAGCCCACTGGCCTTGGTATACCAGCCAGACCCTGGTTCCTTCCAATAGCTGCAGTTTAAGAATTTGTATTTCGTTTTCTGATCATTTTGTGTTGATTTTTACATGATTTGAGAGGAAGGGGTTACATTATCTTTTCACATGTGCATATCTAATTTTCCAGCCTCAGTTATTAGAAAGATGGAATCAATTTTGTTGGTCAATATTGACATTAATTTTTTTTTTATTTCTTCAAGATCAAAAATTCATAAGCCAGAAGAGCACAAGAATCTATTCATGTTTTCTGATCCTCTAATATTTTGCTACAATGATCTTTAATAATACTCTATATTTCTGTGTTATCAATGTTAATGGGTCCTGTTTTAGTATGTAAATTTATGTAATTGCTTCTTTCTTTTTTCTTTGTTTATCTAAAGGTCTGGTGATTTTGTGCTTTCAAACAACACATTTTTTATTTATTATCTTTTGTCCTTCAGCCTCAGCTCTATTTAATTCTGCTCTGATCTTTATTGTTTACTAAATTTTAGGTTTTATTTATTTATTTTAGTTATTATATTATTTGAAATCTATTGTTACCCTCTTGAGATAGATGTTGGTGATGATTGCATCTGCCCCAGTGTCCTAGGCTATGAGTGTTGTTGGATGTGACCACATGTCTGGTTACTGAGACTAGTGGTTGGAGGAGCCGTCGTTTGGTGTCTCTAGGCCTGGACACAGGCACACTGTGTGGTGCAGGCTGGAAGATCTGCATGCAGCAGGCTCACTAAGGGACAAAGCTGCGGCTTGCCTGTCTTCTGTTTTCTGCTATGGTCAGGTACTGAGTACTGGTGAGCTGTGTCATTGGCTCTGTGGAGGGAGGCAGAGCTGCCGCCTAGCCGTTAGGTAGGTGCAGATGTAGGTGAGCACATCAGGGCACTGTTGGTCACCTTCCCCTCTATTTAAGCCTGCTGGTTCCCTGGGGGACTAACTGGGTTTTCTGTCCCATTAGTCCTTGGGGCCTGGCTTTTGCAATTGGCTGGACTCTGAGCTCTGGAGGGATGGTGCTGTAGCCACTCACATGGATATGTTGTAAGGAGAATGGGATCTCAAGAATGGAAATACACTATGGCTGCTGGCCCCAGGGTGGGATATGCTCTAACCATGAATCAGTGTTAAGGTGGCAGCTTGAGTCACATATAGGTTAGAGAGTCTATAGCATGAACCCCTTTCTGGAGAATACAGGTCCATGGACTCCAGGCAAACTTTCCACGCTGCTTGGGTCCTGTGAGAGTCACCTCAGCCTCTAGCTGTAAGTACTACCAAAGTGTGCAGTGTCTATGAGGATCTTCTCCTCTGAGGAGATGCAAATCCGGATTATAGGGTGGAGGAGGAGGAGCCTGTTTGTGTCATTGCACAGGGGCCACCCCCCTGCCACTGCAGAGTGCAGGCCACTGTGGTCACTTTAGTGCATGAGGGACAGGAAGGAACGTGACAAGCAACTGTGCTCAGCTGTGTCAACCTCCGATTGGATTCTGCTTTTCGTCTTTGTTTTCCACGGGACTTGACACAGATGTGCGGTCGTCTTCCTCACTCTGGACCTCAAGTCAGGAAGCGCAGCACTGGTTTGGTCAGAACCAGGCTTTGCTGATGTGTCAGCAAAACCTTTCTGCTTTTGTCTGCATTTAAGAAAGACCCTTAAGTTCATCACGGTTTAATTATCCCACAGTCAGGGACACAGGCCTGACACTTCAGAGATAGTTTCTATTTCTGTACATGGCCCTGTGGCTACTCCCCACACAGACCTGTGACAGGATCTCCTGCATTAAAGAGGCTATTCAGTTTAATTACACAATCAAAATACTTAAGAAGAGGGGTATACTTGTGGGTAAAGGCATTAAAGTGTTTGACAACTGTGCTATGTGTGTGCTCAAATACCTTCTTTTCGTTTCTGGAGAAGTCATTATGGGCGAAGTGACATGGCCCTGTGGTGGGAAGGCAAATGAGCAGCTGCCAGCTGGGTGAGCTCATGCACCCCTGGCCAGTCTGTGATAAGTACAGGGAGCAGCAAAGGGGTCATTTTCAACACATGATCTGCAGTTTATAGCTTTGCGGCAATCCATGTTTGATAATGAGACTTCCCTGAGCAGCATCGCAGGGCCGCCTATAATCCCATGTGCTGATTTTACAATTGCAATTTCTTGTGGCTGTCTCTTATTTCCCCAAATGCTTAGAGAGAAGTTGTGCTTCTTAGTTAAAGGGCAAATGTAGGAAAAAGAATCCCATTCTTTCCCTCTGTGTCACAGTTGAAACTCTGGCTCTTTGGGTTGTTACTTTAGAGGCTGTAATTATGGTCTCTTACAGGAGGGTCCAAAATTCCCTGTACCCACGGGCTTTAATTCTTCCTC